GGGGGGGGGGGAAGAGTAGAGCATATACTTATTTTTCCTGTTAACAAATTTTCAATATAGTGTGGAAAAACAAAATTAGGGTCTTTTAAAAAGAAGCATGAGAAATTAGATATTTCGCCACAAGAAGAACATATCATTTTTAACTCGGAAAATATTGTTTTCCAAGTTGCAGTGGTAAAGCGATTTCACTCCTTCACTCCTTCATTGGGTCACTTCCTGTTTGACATTTGAAACCCCCGGGGGGGGGGGGAAGAACTCCCACATGAAAAGGTTAGGGATGCTCGTCGGAAAATTTGAATTGAACTCCTAAAGGAGACTAATATGGGAATTGCTCGAGCTGCAATAGACCCCTAAAAGATACCACTTAAAACGGAATGGGTTCGATTACTGGCCACTGTTCAATAAAGGATCTCGGGCGCACTTGTAGACCCGACAGAGAACAGCGGAAATCAACCCTAAAGCACAGAAATTAAATGAGAGCGTTTCTTTTAGTTATTATTTCTTCGAGTGTACCCTAAAGGATACTTTGACTGCGAAAAATGGCGACGTTTCGTCTGTAACACCCTAAGTGAGACCAGAAGCAGACGAGAAGACGAGCATTCCCGACCTTTTCATATAGGAGTGCCCCCCGGGTTTCGAACATCCGCTGTTTAAGGCTGTTTTGGAGTCGCTTGCGCCGTGTCAAGTTAGTTATTTTTTGAATTTCTGACGCAAGAACTCAATATCTTACTGCAGAAATGCGCTACACTGAATAAATTTTCGCACGTACGTTTTTAACCTGGAAAATATTATTGTCCAAGTTGTACTGGTGATGAGATTTCACTCCATCACTCCTTTGCGCCTTCACTTCCTGTTAGACATTTGAAACATTTCGCACGAACGTTTTTATAAATAGGAGCTACCTGTACGTAATTATATAAATAGCTCATTTCCCGAAGGTGCCCGCTCATACGGATTTAACCATACTCGATTGCCGAAAAAGAAGACATTGAAAGTGACAAAATTGACGAGCTGTATGAATTTTCGAATGATTCAAGTCGTGGTTAAATGTCAAGAGAATTGAGGAGAATTCCAGCGACGTGTTCCGCTGTTTATTTATACGATATTGTAAATAAATACACATAAATACGGACATGGCGAAATGAGGAACAAATAGTTGATAACTAGAAGAAATGACAATACACAAGGCTGGGAGTTCTCCAGTCTTTAATATCGCCTTGGAACGGGAAGGGAAAAAAAAGTTATTACAACACGGGGTATTCGTATTTGGTCACCCATCCTAGTACGAACCCCGCCGAACAGGGCTTAACCGGTCTGTTAAATGATCTCGACCAACTTTGTGATTCCTTTCCTGATTTGAACTTCGATGGTTTGAAGACGACGAGTGCCTGACCGAATTTCGCTTCCACAAACGCAACTTGCCCCTTGGCTGCCTTCTCGCTGAGTTGCACAATGAAATAAATGAACTTATTATCAGCAGATGTTTAATCAGACTGGCGCTACAAATGCAAATCAGTGTGCCGACTGATAAAGATCTATAATGTAAACCCCTGATCTTACGACTGAAAATGGAAACAGCTACGCAAGTTTTAATGGTGTCTACCCTTTTAAATGTGTTAGAATTTCACCATAATGAGCCATTTGACATTTGAGTACTTCTMGAAAGGAAAAATTTCGATTGAAATTCGTGTAAGTTGTCTTTATTTACATAAGCTTTCAAAAAGATATTTCACGGTACTCACATGTTCGCCGACTGGCTTGAGTTCGCTTCAGATTTCTCGACGTTTCTTTAAAATGAAATATCTCACATAACAAGAGAAAACAAGCATTAAAGTTCCTCGAAATTTGTAACACGGATTATTTAGCGTTGACACAGCAGAGGAAACAAAAGCGAAAACTCACGTTTTCAGACAACGCGAAATGAGCTTCACTCACGTCGGGCCCGAACGCAGAACGTCAACTTGTTTCCCGCCAATCATGCGCAGTGGACCTTTGGGCTTTTCCCTGATCTTATCGCGTTCCCGTCGCCGTCCGCGTTGTCGTTGCTTAAAGTCCCTTTTGCTGAGCGGGCAAGACGCGGTGCTGTCCTTGTGGTATAGTGACACTACGCTGAACGCATGTTTTTGTTTTTAAATTTCTAAGATGAGAAAAGGTCACAAAGAGAAAAAAAAAGTCACTGATACTAGCTGGGAAAATAAAGAAAGAAAAAAAATGAGAGGAATGAAAATGCGAATTATTACTTACTTTGGTGATCGGACAAGAAGCGGTGCTTTCTTAATAATTGTCTCGGTCTCTCGGACCGATGACTTCATGAATATTTTCAACGGTGTTATATCTCCTCGTGTATTCTCTTACCGTTGCGTTTTGCACTATTTCTTAATAACGCTAGTGGGCTTTAGCTTTAACTTAACCTACGGATTAAAACCGCGAGTCAGTGGCATCAAAATTGCCACTGGTTCCAGGGTATCCATTTTCCAAGTTGAGTGGCTCATAGCCACTTTGATTATATGTATTTTTTTCACCTACATATTGACATAAATTACGTTGTTCCATAAAACGTCCCGTCCTAATAACATTGAATTAGTCTGCAATGGAAACCTAGATTTCAGCTTTTGATTTATTGATACCTCACGATCATCTGCTGGTATTTTAGCCGTCTTGTCACCCAAGATTGGACATAAACACGATTGAAGCATTACTAATGGTTGCCTGTTTGTGGACAGTAAAAGACATCGCTTTCTTACTTGATGATTCTATGTCCATGGCCCCCCATATTACCGCAGCGTGTCAATCTTCCTTTTTCCGACTATGCAACATATCTTAAGGTTGCTCCCTATAGTTTTACAATTGCACACGCGCTGAGGACGAAACCCCAAGTAATCTGCGCGCGCTCGAAGGAAAACGTCGATGTTTTTCGATATTCTATGACGTCAACATGAGCACAAAAAGCAAAACTGACAATAAATTTTTCCGCGTTTCCTTCGGTGAATTTTTTTTTAAGTTTGGCTCAGTTGTAACCACATACAATTCCTA